ATCAAGTCATTTTAGGGGGGGTGTGGGGTTATGGATAAAGCTATTGATGCAGCCGGCCAGAGGTAGCAGCAGAAGATGGCAGTGATATGAGTAACTTTTGTTCTTTTTGATGGCTTGGGAAAGGCAAAAACTGAGAATGAGGTGAATTTTTGGCCCCATTTTCAGGTTTTGGATGAAATAAAAAAATTGGAAAGTTGAAGCAATTAACTTTCAGGGCCTGGATTTGACGAGGTTACTTACAGCCTTTTGAGTTATTGAATCAGAATGTAATCATTTGGGGTAGTTATTACTTTACTCTGATTACAGCCTGTCCACCCCAATTACTAGTGTTAAGTAATAATGAATGAAATGAATTATCATTTAATGAATGCTCTTTTCTATATTCTTAAATTTATAATATTTAATTTTTTTTCTCAATGTCGCGAACCTCCTCTGTTACAGTGTACTGTGGGTAGTATTGCAATTTGATTTGCTGTAATAAGTAATGACAGATGTTAGTGTAATTAATAACCTTGTTAAATTGGTAAATCACTATCTTAAATCGTAAGGAAAGAGTTTTGACTTGTTGACGGTATAAATTAAAGTCGTTTTTGCTTACCTCAAGAAGCAGTTGCAGCTGGATTTGATCTGTAATTTGTTTACTTGTTTAGGTTTATGTTATTTACCTTTTAATTATACACCGCTTTATCTGATTATGGCTAATTTGTAATTATAGGGGTTTTGATTTGATTTCCATTCTCAATACATTCTCAATATAAAGACATTGAAGTTGATTCAAATACTATTATTATATTTTATTACATTAAACGGATATTCAAACCAATTTTATCAAAACACTAAATTCATCGTCACTTGACTCGTTATTTACTTGTTCATACATTTTAACCAATTGTGGATTGTGGATTCTTCCACGAGTGTCTTAAAATTTGAAATTTAGGGTGGATTAAGAAAAGCAAGTAGTGGGAACGGAAATATTTTTAAAGCATATTACGACTTTGCTTTTTTGAGGTTGTAGTCTTTAGACTAGTGAGAGCAAGAATTTTATTTTGTTATGTTGTTCTATAACTGGGTTAGGCCTTGGAGAACCTAGTGGTTAAGCGGGTCAGCTTTCATACGTGTAATGCGCTTAGAGTTTTCTGTTTTGCTTTTTTGATAGATAGTGTTCTACAAATAGTTTTCAGATTTAGCTTTTATGCCGTTTTTCTTAATTAAGAAACTCGCCAAAATTAAACGTGGTTATTAGCTAAGCTATCTTTCTATCTTCTATTATCACTTATCAGAGTATGTAATGGTTTTATATTTTGCTAAAAAGATAATTTTAGAATATAATTAGAATTAATTAATGGTTTAGTAGTGAGACATTGAGATAGCATGAATAAAATCTTTTGTTGAAATTATGTTATTGTCATTTTAATTCATATGATTAAAAAATTAGAATGAGATGACTATTAGAATATTATTCTCCTGTTTTTATTTATAAGATGTTTTCTTACAATGTTTTTTGTCCATTTTTATTTTATTTTTAATTTCTAGATGTATTCATTATTATTTTTTAAATTATTCTTAATTATTCTCTTTCTTAACATTAGTTACTTAGACTAGAAGTAATTTAGTGGAGGAATGATTAATTATTCTCTTTCTTAACATTAGCACCTTTATATATTGCTATAAATTATTTGAGTTAAATTGATATATTATATTATCATGCATAACAATTTTTGATTGAATATCAATGTAAAAGAATTTTAAATTACTAGTGTAACCATTATTTACTCTTAACTATTTTACTGAACAAAAATCGCAATGCATGAAAATTTAACTTTTGATTCTATTAAAATCGAATATAATCAATTTTTTTACTTGTAAATATTGCAATGACGACAACAAGACTTAATCCTGGGAACTTGTGTATATTACTCCAACTTTACTCCTAGTTGATCTTAGTGCGTGTTTGCTTTAGATTTAGAAACGTGATTTTTCACTCTCTCTCCACGTTTACAAGCCAATTTACGTAGAAACTACAATTTTTTGCTTCTCACAAACGTGAATTTTCACGTCCAAAAGCTAAAGTAAACACGCACTTAATAATTTGAATATGAACATGATCGACTAAACGATCTAAATTGATTTTATGTTAGATTTATGGTATGTTTGTTTAGGGTGGTTCTAAAGAAAAAGATGCGAGGGAGAAAGAAGTGAAAAAAAGAATGAAGTTTTTAATTGTTTGGAAGTAAAGATGTTAATTTGGGTTCGAACAGGACAACAAGCAAATAAGGTTAATTTAGACCTTAAAAAGGATATCCTAAATAAAATCAAGTCATTTTACCTTAGTCCACTAAGTTCGACAGGCCAAATGGGTCTAAATCGGATTGGTCAGTAGGTTTATGCGCTGATTCATTAAACTAATAAGTAGAATAATATAAATTAATGTTATTATGTAAATATGTAATGTATTATAAAATAAAATATAATAATAGTAAGTCTTTCACTTTTTTGTGTTTGCTTACAAAGTTTTGGTTAGAAATTCAGAGTCAGGTTAGCGGCTATGAAAGTTTTGTTGCTCCCATTGTGACCTTGATTACTTGACCTAATAACTTGTCACCTTTCTACCATTTGTTAGAGAAAACGAAGACACAGTCACGCTCATATTTGTCCTCACCAAGTAACATTAAATATAAGATTAGAGGTATTAATGAAGAAGACCAATATACTAAAAAGATTAAGAAAACTAAGTGTAATATCTCTTAGGTTTAAAACTATTATGAAAGGGTTGGTTTAGTTGAGGGGGTGAATAAATACAAATGCAATGGTTGGAGAAAATTCTATACATATAAAACTATTAGATGTTTCATAACAATATATAATATTAATTAATCATTTTATAATTTTTAATTATTTTTTGTAAAAAAATATTTAATTTTTTAAAATTTTTTTAATTAGGCCAATTTGACTCAATTGTCCAACATTGATCAGGTTGGGAAAAAAATGACAAATTGAAAAAAAAATACAAGTCAAGTTAATTTAACCTAAAAGAACATTTAGTTTAGGCATGGCAACGGGGCGGGGTAGGGGCGAGTTTTACGTTCCCTACCCCTGCCCTCGCAAATTTAAACCGCCCTCGCCCCCGCCTCCGATACCCGTCAGGGATAAAATCTGGGTCTCAATCCCCGCCCCGGCGGGGTTCGGGTTTCCTCGCCCCGCCCTCGCCCCCGCTCCTATTTTTTTTATTATTTTTTTTTATTTTTATTTTTAAAAAATAAATATGAACAATTTAAAAAAATAAAAAAAAGTAAAATAATATAAATTTTTACATATAAATATTTCTAATTTTGGTTTATATATATATAAAAATAATTTTTGCTCTGGATTTTATCAATGAAGGAAAACCCAAACCCGATAAATACGGGTTTTCCCCGTCCAAACCAGGACGGGTACCCACCGGGACGAGTTAGATTGTCATGCTTAATTTAGTTAGTGTAAGTTAGGTCGAATGAAACCAACCCAACCTATTTTACACTTCTATTTGATGGAGAAAAAAATGATAGAAAAAAAATGATATATGATTTCGAAGTTCAAAATAAATCTCTCCATATTTTAAGAGATTTGTTAAAGTAAAGGAGAAAAAGTTATTAAATTCATTAAATATTTAAATGACATTTTTGTCTTTTTAAGGGACACTTCTTTTTCTCTTCTACTTCTTTTTCATTTCTCTTAATACAAACAACTAAAAAAAATTATTTATTTATTCATTCTCTCTTCTATTTCTTTCTGGTTCACATCTCTCTCGTTATAATTTTTGTCATTCAAGCAAAGCATTAATCATGTGAAATTAATTGGACACAAATCAAACAAGCATTTAGCTGCAACACATGACAAAACACTAGGCAATATGATATGGCTAAGAAATAGTAGTAATACCATCATTTTTGTTTTGGGGTTTGTGGAAATATAGCGTGGCATGCGCGTGAAGGGTTGGATGCTTTGGTGGCGGTGATGGTGATGGTGATGGTGAACGTGCTATGCGTAACGCTTCGGCACGTTGGGTTGTGTGTAAAGTGTATGTGACTGGGTCATCGCTGATGCGGTGGTGTGAGTGGGACACTCTCAATTTCGTGCCTCACTTTTTTCTTTTTTTAATTTTTGTGCAACTCCTAACATAACTGCACGCCTACTTCCAATGATTTTCTTATTTTTATTTTATTTATAAACATTTTTTTTTAAAGTATCAAAATTGATGATTAAAACTAATTTATAGACATATTTCATGATGTGGTTGTTATTAGTTAAATATTATTTTAGTATTGACAAAAATTAAATTGAAAGATACCAATTTGATTCTCTGAATTTTAGGACAAGTTTCATGACTATAAATGAG